CTCGAGTTTTATAAAACGATTCTCGAGTTTTATAAAACGATTTCTCGAGTTTTATAAAACGATTTCTCGAGTTTTATAAAACGATTCTCGAGCTTTATAAAACGATTTCTCGAGTTTTATAAAACGATTTCTCGAGTTTTATAAAACGATTCTCGAGTTTTATAAAACGATTCTCGAGTTTTATAAAACGATTCTCGAGGTTTATAAAACGATTTCTGGAGTTTTATAAAACGATTTCTCGAGTTGTATAAGACGATTTCTCGAGTTTTATAAAATGATTCTCGAGTTTTATAAAACGATTTTTCGAGTTTTATAAAACTATTCCTCGGGTTTTATAAAACTGTTCTTTTTGTATTTTCGCGGAGAGTTTTGGCTATTAATTCCGTCGTACCGATTTTGACCCCAACAATCATAAACCGGTTAAAAATCATAATTGAAATCTTACATGCTTACCTTATGGAATAAATGGATTACTCATAACCGGATTGGGTTGAGATCAAGTCTAAACCGAGATTGCATGTGCGAGGTATGGGTGAGTGATCTGAATTGGATTGGACTGGGCTGATCTTGAACCTCTATTGGATTGGTTCGATCTTGAATCTTCAATTGGACCATCTCTTCAATTTGCAACAGGTTCTGGTCGGTTTGCCCATCTTGATTTAGGATCTCTTGGACAATTTTGAAAAAACTTTCTTTTATGGCCTTGGTTCCGTTCCGGATAGTCAGACCACGTCTAACTATGGTAACTTGTACTTGGATGGTTGCTATTGTACAAATCAAATTGAATGTCTCAATACTTTTTATCAAATGATCTAAGTTTACAATTTTAGCAAGCAGTCAAACTTCTTTTCCTTTTTTGGTTTAAGATCAAACTTTTCATTTACTTACTATTAACGAGAGTAATACAGGGGTTTTAACCACAAACAGGATTCAACAGCAGTCAATCACTGCTTGCTAGTCAGTAGTAAATGATTATTATATTTCTTTTTTTCCCACAATGGTCAATTATTATCTCTCTCACAATGTTCAAGCGTTAACCTACTAAGTTAGGTTGAAATGTAAGGTCTTGTTGGGCTATTGGAGAGTAAATGAAACCGGTGTTCCCAGTATCCGGTTCCGTGTTGCTTCCCAGAACAGTTCTCCTCCTTTATCATCCCTTATATATTATTTGAGAAGCATTACAACATGTTTTGGTAGCCACGTGTCATCATGAGAATGCTTCTCAAATTTACTAGAGAAAAATGTTGGTCCATATAAACATATAATATACTTTTTATTAAACAAAACATAAACTATTATTATTGCTTTTCATTATTTCCTTAAATAAAATTTACGGAATTACCTAATATGGTTATAAGATATATATGACAATTAATGATTCGAATATGAAGATTTGATAAAAAAATTTATAGGCTCTACTATTTTTGTTAAATTTATATTATGAAAATAAATTAAAAATAACATTAACTATATAACAAAAAAAATTAGATTTTTTTATATATGTTATATTTTGAATTTTAAAAAATGACTATAAATTAATAAAACATTTAAATATTTCACATATAATATTTTTTATTAATAAATGTCCTATATATTAATCATGGAACATTACAAATTTTTTTTTGTAGCTACGTGTCACAATGATAATGATTTTCATAACTCTTAGAGAAATATGTTGGTCCAACTAAACATATGTTGTATTTTTATTATACTAACTATCATATTTGATTAGTAATGTACAAAAGAATATTCCTTATTCTTTCCTTAAATAAAATCTACGGAATTACCTAATAAGATTAACATATATATCACAATTAATGTTTATGAACAATAAAGATTTGATAACAATTTTTATCCTCTTTACTTTTTATTTAATTTTATATTATTAAAAGAAATTAAAAAATCACATTGATCCTATAATAAAAAAATTAGATTTGTTCTTATATGTTATATTTTGAATTTTTTAAAACGACCATAAATTATTAAAAATGGT